CTTGTTGCCAAAGCTTCCAGAGAAAAGGTAAGGGTCTCATAGTTGAGACTCATGACTGGATTGATGAGCCGACCTCTTCCTCTAGTGATGAGAATATGGCACATTTGTGTCTTATGGCTAAAATACGAGAGATTGAAGACTCTGACAAAGGATACACCTCTATGTTGTTGATGTGCCTTCTACCTCCAAGAAAGCCAAATATCCAGCCAAACCGAAGAAGGTAAACAACTTTTCTTCTCTTTCTGAAGCTGAAAAGGTTAAAGCTTTTGATTCTTTATCTATTGATCTATATAATGCTATATCTGCTAAAAAGAAAGTTGACCTTCAACTTAAAAGTCTAACTAGTCGGTTACAAAAATGCATGAATCAACTTAAAGACTTTGATAAGTTGAAAAAGGACCTGAAAGAACAAGAGTTAATTAACAATGTTCTTAACAAAAAACAAAAAACAAAAAACAAACTCTACCAGAAGCTTGAGAAAGAAAAAGCCATTATTCATAAATGAGCTAGATCATCCAAGAATCTAGATAATATCTTACATGATCAAATTCCAAGTGAAGTAAAGACTGGTCTAGGCTATGATGATATGGATCTGTGTGCTCCTGATAACTCTTTGTGCATCTCTTCTCACATTCATTCTTTCTCATCTTCGTCTCATTTATCTGATTTTGTTGGATCTCTTTCTCCTAGATCTCATGATAATAGTGGATCTCTCAAATTTTGAGTCTTTGTCAAAGCTAAAAATCCAAACTTTGAATATGATAGTGTTCCTGTTGACTATGTGTTCAACTCTCTTTCTCTGTTGGAACCACATGATACATGCTTATTTAGACCTAAAACATATGAACATTTGAAGTAACCCATGAATCGTAATTTTACCGCTACTAAGAAAGGCAAGTATGTGGACTGACCGATCAAAGTACAAAAATCAGATGTTCATGAAAAAAGCAAGTCAACTGACAGTCCTTCAAGAATAGAAGACCAAAATCCAAACTTAAGATGAAACATAAGCCTTTGGCTACCTCATCACAATCAGCTGCTGCTTCTCAGTCTGCTACCTCAGTGCATCTATTACTGAGTTCATTCCGGACCAGTATCCTTGAAAAGGATTCCCAAGGTTTCTACTTCTTCTCAGAAACCAATCATTGAGTTTGAAAAAGGGATTCTTGGTCCAAAACCCTCTTTATCCTCAGTTTCTTTTTCAAAAGCTTCTTCCTCTTTCAAAAGATCTAAGAAGCATGTTAACATAGTTAAGCACACACCTTTGACATCTATTAAACCTGTGTTCATTTATCATAAATGTTATAAGTGTGGTAACACTTTTCATCTGACTAAGACTTGTCCAAAAGAAAGAATCACTAAGTCAGTAAGAAAAGTGAAAGAAGAAAAGTCTCCTAACCTTAGTGGAACCATTGTAAAATGGGTACCTAAAAACTGATTTATCTATATTTGCAGGGCTTAGGACACCGACATGTATGGTACTTGGACATTAGATGTTCAAGACATGTAATTGGAAACAAGTCTCTGTTGATTAACTATGCGTCTGAACCTGGTTCTTCTGTAACCTTGGGAGATAATGCTAGAGGTATTACAAAATGATATGGTGTTCTATCTAATAGCTCGATTACCTTCAATCGAGTAGCCTATGTAGATTGACTGAAGCACAGTCTGCTAAGTATCAGTCAATTATGTGATCTTAGCTTCATTGTATAATTTGAAGAAAACCAGTGTACTATTCTTGATTCTTTTGGAAATAAGGTGCTAACCGGTATTGAAAGTATATAGTCTGTGTTCAAAATGAAATCATCTAGTACTATCGACACCAACGTTTGTTTCTACTCTGAGGCTACTGCTGATCAAAATTGGCTATGGCATAAAAGGTTGTCTCATCTCAACTTCAAGACCATCAACAATCTTTCTAGCAAAGATCTGGTCATTGGACTTCCTAAGATGTCATATGTCATAGAGAAACTGTGTGTTGCTTGTGAAAAAGGCAAGCAAACCAAAGCAAGTTTCAAGCTCAATATGTGCTCTTCTATTTCTGCTCCTTTACACATGCTTCACATGGATGTCTGTGGTCCTGTGAGTATTCAAAGTTTGGATGGAAAACGTTATACTCTTGTTATTGTAGATTAGCAGTCAAGATATACTTGGGTCTTCTTTCTTCAACACAAGAGTGATGCAACTGAAGAAATTATCAACTTTTTAAAACAAATTGAAGTCTTGAATGGTCTACTTTTCAGATCAATTCGAAGTGATAACGACACTGAATTCAAAAACAATGTTCTTGAAAGCTTATTTGATGACAAAAGTGTTTCTCAGCAGTTCAGACTCCATAGCAAAATGGAGTTATTGAAAGGAGAAATCGTACATTATGTGAAGTTGTACGTTCAATGCTAAGTGAAGCAATTCTTCCGACCTACTTTTAGGCTATAGTTGTCAATACTGCTTGTTTTACTCAAAATAGGTCTACGATTGTGAAAAGAGATAATAAGACTGCTTATGAAGTGTTCCATGGTAGAAAGCCAAACATCAGATAGAGATCAGTTAGGAAAGTTTGATCCTGAATGTGGTGAAGGCATCTTTGTTGATACTCTCTCTTCTTTAAAGCGTATCGGATGTACAATATGCATCGTCAGTGCATAGATGAATATGTCAATGTCAGATTTGATGAATATGGACCGATGCTTACAACATCATCATTTCAAAGTGACGATCTTAAGCTTAGTGGTTGGAATCTCACTCTTCTGAGAATTCAACTCCAATTGATGGACCTCCACAAACTAATGGAGATGATGTTCCACCTGTTGAGGAATATGAAAACGAAGATATATAATTCAGTATGAATATATCATTGGTCAGTCCTATACAAGAACCAACCGATCTGGTACCTTTTCTATGTGGAACCCTCAACTGGTGTCGATGTTCCTATTTCTTTTACTAGGGACACCGGTGACCCAACCTCGGTAGTCGTTAATTCTAATCATCTGACGAATGCTGACAGTGCCTCTACCTCTCTTCTTCTTCCTCTTCCTCCTGCCACTAAGTAGACTAGAGATCACCTAGTGGAGCAATTTATTGGTGATCAGCAAATAGGTGTCCAAACACGTTGCGATGCTGGTAATATCTGTTTGTTTGTCAATTTTCTATCTCTCATCGAGCCTAAAAGATTGAAGAAGCACTTGATGATCCTAGATGGATCAGTGCCATGCAATAAGATTTGTTGCAGTTCAAGCATAACAAACTCCCGACCAACCAACAAAACAATTATTGGCACAAAGTGGGTCTTCATCTACTAAGCATTTTAGCCGAGAATGTGGCCAATTCAATTGCTCTTCAAAAGTAATTTGATGAAGTCAACAGATCTCACTCTTTGGTCCAATGATCAGAATCTGAGGAAACCAAAGAGAAAAGAATAAAATGGTTCAATGACTCAATTCTCCATTGGTATATTGCTACCCGAATTATCAATGCTAGAATCAAAGGTTCTAAACAATTGACTTATGATTCAAATCAGATTTATCTGATAATTGGTCGAGTAAACGGAGTAGTGAGAACTGAATTTTTTTAGATAAATGCTTATGGGCTATCTGAGTGGATGAAAACTATAAAGTGTCTCAAGAAGAGCAGAAGCATGTATCGAAAGTTTGTCTTGGATAATTTGTATCATCTCTTAAAAAAGATAAAGATGATCAAGAAACACTACAAACTCTCTCAAGCTACTGTTAAATAAAGCTGGCTCATCTAAATTTGCTTTTGCCTCTCAATCTGTCAAGAAGCAAGATTATTTTATTCAGAAGCTGTCAAAGGAAGGTAAGGCCCCTGATCTCTCACCTCTTGATCTTACCCTTCCTACTAATGACTGTCATCCAGAATGAACTATCTAGTCTACACCTAAGCATGGAATCTTCTTTTGGAACGCGAGTAGTTGTCTTCGATTTTTTCGAGCTTCTGAGATACCAATAGCTGATTCTCAGCTACTTTGTGTGATACTTAGTATCATTAAAAATTGGTGAAGCTGGAAGAGTCTTCTATACCCGAATTTCGGATGAATTGAAGAAAAGATATGTCTTTGCAACCACAAATATAGATGTTATGGAAGTAGATGATGACTGCTAGCTAATCGATCTATATGACTTCTTGTTCTTGAACTATTTTCTTGACTATAAGTATTCAAATTCATTGTCTAGTATAGATGCAATTTATATTTCTGTATTTACTTCAAATTTTTTGATTCTTTATTTGTTTTGTATATACATTTACAGTTTAAAAAAACAAAAAAAAAAAAAAACAAAAGAAAGAAAGAAAGAAAGAAAGAAAGAAAGAAAAGAACAAAAAAAAATATGTGCATGAGTCAGCGAATTTATAAGTTATTTCCGGTTGAGTTCAAACAAACCTTATATTCATGCTATATGTTATTACTTGTCTATTTTAAAACCAAAATCGCCATCTTAATTTAGCAAGTGCATTTGATTTCTTAAGATTTTGGTTACTCTATCCCCGTGGAAGATATTCAACATCTTACCATCAAAAGATGAGAGTAGGAGAAAGCGTATACTTGCACAAACTCCTATTGATTTTTATGTGAATGCAAACATCCTTGAGGTCTAAACATCTCGATAACATGTTCCCATGTATCCAATTCTTTTTACTATTTGAGATACTCATATATGTATTAAAATGTGGGTCCTGTTGCGCAAAGCCTAAGGTGGCGTTTGGTTCACATAATAAAATCTATTGCAATTGGAACATGTGAAAGGAAGTGAAATTTGAAGTAATTGAAATTGAACTCTCGCCCCTATACTCAAGATGACTTGAAATTGAAAATTATTTTATTGAAAGGCAAAAACATACATTTGAGGAACAATAAAGGGCTAAATAGTCGTTCTAAAATAAACAAGGGGGCAAGTGTGCAATATGGGCATTCCCCCAAAACCCCCCTTTTTTTGGGTTTAATGGAGCTTGAGAACCCCCCACCCCTCTCTCGGCGGTGTTTTCTGTTTGAAAGAATGCCTCCGAAGAGCAAGAAGAACTCCAAGTCAAAGGCTTTCTCTCATTCAGATGCAGCAAGCCCATCTCCTCACAGCAGTTCATCCTCATATTCGAATCCGAACCCAGGTTATAATGATGAAGATGATGAACAATTACTATTGCGCTCACTAGAAGAGATTTCTACCAAATACCCTTCTTTTATTGGTACTTCTGCTCTGATTTGTCGACTCATTGAAGATCCTTCTGGTGGAATTGAATCCAAAGGGTGTAAAATATGGCTGTCAGAAGCCTCCATGGTTGCTTCTTCTATCACTCCTGGTTCCATTGTATCTGTAAGTCTAACTTATTGGTTGTCCTTCTCCTTGTTTTTTTTCTTCTAGAATTTCGATTGTAAATGCGTTTACTATATTACAATGTTATATGGGGGAGTTTACTTCTTTGTGAAATGGGTGCAAGTGATGAAAACACCCACTTTGCAGTATGAAAGAAAGGTTGTGCGGACAACTTTCCTGGGTTGTTAGTGACATGTTCTTCATCTTTCAATTGGTTTCTTCCGGCTTCTGTTTATGGGCTATGGTTTCTTCCGGCTTCTGTTTATGGGCTTTGGTTTCTTCAAAAACCTTCCTTATTTGTTGTTTAGGGATTCTTTTACTCTATATGCCAATGAAGGTTTCTTGGAAGTTCCATCATATTGTTACCATTGCTAACTTTGATAAACATAGATAACTGTATCTTCCTTTTATGCATCAAAATATTACATACATGACATCTATGTTTGAATGTGATTTAAATCCTAGTGTGCGACTTGGGGAGTCGTGTTCAACATGATCAGACTTCTGGTACATGTTTTGCGAGTTGGCTGTGAATTCTAGCTAGTTGCATACTTCTTAGTACACTACTTCAATGCGACATAGATATTGCATATATGGTTGTTGCACCATACATTGTTTGTCACTTGTATGCGACTTCATCATCTCGCATGGAAGCTGTGTCGACGAGAAGGTACGCGACTTGTCAAGTCGCCAGTAAGTCGCGTACGAGCATCAGATGGGTTTTATTGGTAAATTTATGTCATTTTGTTTGTTCTCTTTTACCTCTCAACATACACTTGCACTACATTCACCATAGTTGCTGTAATCACCATTGTGGCTACTTCTTCAAGCTTGTAATTACTTCAATCAACATAGTGAATCGTTATTTAGTTCACTCTACATATTATAGCAATTTGTTTCCATATTGAAATTGAAATTGGATGATTGCATGTTGGTTGATTGGGTCAGCTGACTCTTATTTTGCCCTTGCAATTGGAAAGTCACAGTCAAGTAAAGGTGGAGTTATTTTCACATGAATCTAATTCACTCATAACGTGGTTCACTTTTGGTTCAACACCTATGGGTTGACATCAATATCTATGTAAGATTCTTCTACTTGGTTAATGTACTTGTCAACATTAGTATGTAATGTCATAATGCTATCTTTTTCATGATCAACTAATTACTCCATGTTTTGTTTTTGTGGTTTAATAGTTATTTAAATTTATCAACAGGTCTCACTTGCTTCTTTAAGGAAAGACATCCCTGGGTACTCTCTTAGTTCATTGGCGGATGAATGCGCCAGGCATTATGGATTCAATGAGAAAATCGCCAAGGAAATAGGGAACTACTTTGTTCTGGCTACAGTTTTTCCTTCTTGTAAGGTTTGAACACAATCATGTATCCCTTACATATGGCTTTCTTATATTCGGAAGACTGATTGTTCTACTTATAGCTTAGCCATTTCTTAACCAAAAAGAAAGAAACATCGTCTATCTAAGACTGTCTTGCCATTGTTTACCTTTGCATATTAACACAAAACAAAATCTATCGTTTTTTTACAGTACTTAGATACAAGAACTTAAACTGATGATTATGGTTTCATATAGAGATTTTCAAATGGTTTCTGCTGCCCCACGTTCCCATGTATGCTGAAGTGCCAAGTTTAAATCTTTAGAACAGATCCTGGACTCTTCTCTTCTGGTGTAGCATTTGGCTACATACTTTCGTTTTTCTAGGTTTTCTTTTTATATGACATGTGACACTTTCTCTTATTGCATTAATTTGGTTATAGTTCTCTTGTGTAGCATTTGGCTACATAATATTACTCTAATTTGAACTTGCAATGTTTTCCTAATTTTTTCGCACTCAGGTTTCGAAAAATGGTGTGCGATTATCTTCCAGCCTCTCCTCTGCTATGGGTTATCCAATTTCTGACAGGATACTTTTTGTTTATCCTGTCAACAATGGGAATAAGATAGGACACAACTCGGCAGTTGATTCCTTTTCAATATACAGGTGCAAAGACCTACATTTATTGTTGGTTTCTTCGAAGAGAAGCATTAGTACAAAAAGTAATAAACCGTCTCACTTTGAGTTCTCATCTGAACACAATGGTCATATTGAAAACGGAAATATTTCATCCCCCAAAACACCATCATTGTCTCGATCAAGATTAAGTTCTCCCTGTTCTAGCCGACCGACTTCACCAAGACATACAGAGTCAGTGTTGAACTCGTTTAATCCATCCTTTGATTCTTTTAATATAAGAGAAGTCTTAGAGGATGATGTTGGAAAGAAGCTTCTTCAGACTTGCACTGTGTCACTTCTTTATTCCCGTCATTTACTTTGTGGAAACCTTGTGGTAGTTCCAATTCTTTCAGAGCTTTGCCTTTTCAAGGTAGTAGGTGCTGAAAAAGTACCCGAACTTGGTAATAACGGGGATGTGGAGAGAAAAAGTGATTCATATCTGCGAACTTCAGATGTATCCAACTATACAACTGATGCTTTTCTGGTAGGCCATGGAACAAAAGTTCAGCTATCCTTGGGATTGAGTTCTGAGCCGGAAACTTCTGAGAAAACATATATTGATATATATAGCAAGGATAGCAACGATAATATAGAAGTCAATATTCCTAAATTGGGTGGCCTGTCAAAGGAATATTCCATTTTGAAGGATATCATTATTTCATCATCCGTTAAGAACACTCTGTCAAGGTATGTTATATTTCTGCTTTCGGCTTGCCTGTAATTTTAATTTTGGTGCTGTGCAGTACGTATTTAGTCCTCTTCAGTATGTCTGACCTTGATCAGCTGCTGGACTGATTTCAGCATTGTATATTTCCATGCACTTGAAGTCTTGGGGTGCAAATTACCCAAGGGTTCAGAGTTTAAGCACAAATGTTTCTGGTTGGACAATTTTGGTCATAGCAGTTCCAGAAGCCTATCTTTACCTTAGATAGTGATGGTTCATGCATGTTTCTTAATGTCTTCTGTCAGTAGTTAGTATTTAACTAATTTTAAATGAGTGAGGGAACCTCTAGACAATGACCAGTCATGCGATCTACTTTCTGTATCCAAATTAAGCTAAATCACCTCGTGTCTGGGATCTGCTGCTAGGAGTTTAAGGAGCCAAGTTGAGCCAAATGTCGGCAGTCACGGGTGTTATTCATTATATCAAAGAGCTTAATAAAGCTTCTTTACCTAGTACCTACTGAACTAATTAGCCTTTCTTGATCCTATCCTGAGAGTCTTATTCTATCTTCTAGATCATTATATCCTATCTTTAGATGGGCTTTACCAAGTATGAGCTTCAACAGTTTGGTAAATAAACGTAGTTAAACATTTGCCATTTGTCACAAAGGCATTAGTTTCTTTGTGAAGAGCAAAGCAGGATCCCAGAGGAGTTGTAGGTCCCGGGATCTATGTTGTAGCACTTCCATTTCTTGGATGCGTAGGACGTTATAGTCATTTCAACTGCTCTTTGTCTTGTTTATGTGCACCTTATCCCAAATGGAAGGGTCTTTATTTCTAAATTTTGTCGTACATGATCAATGAACTCCATTCTTTCGCCTGTAGAAGGTTGTAGATGACATTTCTTCTCGGATCAATATGTTTCTATCTCTAGATGTGTAAAATTGTTATCAAGTATTATTTTTCATGTGTTTTGGGTCATTTTTCTGCATGTTCGCTTACACAGACACACTTTATGTACACAAGGGATGAAATAGCTAAAAGAAGACTTAAATGTTTTGCTTAAAAACTTAGTCACTTTCTGATGTAACTGTTTTAGCATGGGTTTACGTCCAACAAAAGGAGTGCTGCTTCATGGTCCACCTGGCACAGGGAAGACTTCCTTGGCTCGATTGTGTGCCAATGATGCTGGCGTCAATCTCTTCTCCGTAAATGGACCAGAATTTATCAGTCAGTTCTATGGTGAAAGCGAGCAAGCATTGCATGCAGTCTTTGATTCAGCTAGCAATGCTGCACCTGCTGTGGTAAGTTTTATCTTTTTGGACATTAATGTTCTTGACCCTTTTTGATATATTTCATTCAGCCATGTTATTCTTACTGGATCATTTCTTACCAATAAAATGGTACATGTAAATTCTCCTTCTTTGCTAGTATATTTGATGTAATAAAGGATGTTAAAAGGGTAACCCATAACTCTAAATTTGATAAATGTAAACCTAATTGCAGAACAACGTAACAATTGCACCACCATGCATAATCAGGCACTGCTATCAATTCTAGCAGTAAGTGTAAAAACAGTACTATTCTGAATGTGGCATTTTCTTCTAACATCCAACTTGAGTTCAAAACTTTTGTTTTCTATTTTTCAGATAGTAAGTACCTTGGAAGTGCTTAATCTAATACAGGAAAAAAGATGATTCACTTTTATGTATTATTATACAGGACAGGTGGTTTTTTTGAGGGGGGGAGTTGGTGATGGGTTTGATAGCGTTTCATTTATATCTAAAGCTGGGACATCACGATAAGAAGACAGGAAATGGTGAGCTTTGTAGGAACCCGAATTATATAATTGAAATGTAGATTTCCATCTTTTTAAAATCACCTTAGTTTAGAACCTAAAAGCCTAGAAGAAAGAAAGAATAAAAAAGCTAGACTACATGCTTGCTGGCAGAATAAATCCCATACCCTGATAACCAAAACCCAAACTGTTTGTGCGTACAAGAACACTGGAGTTAAATTTCGAAGCTGGAGACTGGAGTTGAGTTAAAACATTTTTATTGGGAGGTGCAGAAGATCTGAGTCTTATACTATTTTTCTAATTAGAATTCTTTGAAGAGCTTTTTTGTTGGCATTTATAGTTGTTCGAAGAAAAGTTTAAGCCGAGCTCCAACTGGTAGTCATGAACTCTTAACTGACACCTCTAACTTTCTTAGGTTCCAAGTGTTTCATGACTTGTGTATTTGATTTTGGTTTGTAAATAGATTTTAAAATAAGGTATAATTAGGAAAAATCACATGTGGGACATGCTCTGAAACTTGTGAGTCTATTCCTAGAAATTTATTGTGCAAGAGTGAAGCATATGGAAAGATGTGGAAACTACATTCTTTTTGTTCACGTAGTTTAAATTCTCTTTCATATGTGGGTCTCATTTCATGATGTGAGGATAAATGGATATGGGACCCATAAAAATGGAGGAAATTGGGCTAACATATGGAACCCCAGTTAGATGAAAGTTAATTTAGCGAACTGTCTAGTTCCCCAGAAAAATTATAAATCACCCCAGGTGAAGTTTAAATTATATCCCAGCTTCAAATCTGAAGACTTGTCTTCTTAACCTCCCATGGCTTATATTTTTCAAGCTAAAACCATCATTGAGAATCTTTTTCCTTGCAGACACCATATAGTTTAGAGTTTGGCCACTATAGTAGATAGATGGGGTTCATTGTGAAGAATGATTATTTCCAAATATAACTTCTTCTAATTCCACTGAGTTCTTGTACAAGGGATTCAAGAAAATTATTCTGTCTTCTTTCTTCTGATCATCTGGACTAGTTCATGTGATAAATTTTCTAAGACTAGTTATGTATTCATCATCTATGTATTTCACATTAAAATATAATGGCACTAAAAATCAGCATATTAGGATAGGTTACTGGCATAATGTCACAGCAATGAATGGCTAACGTGCACTTGGACTATTTATTTTATTTATTGCCTACTTAAATATGTTTTATATATTCTGTAGTTCTTACATGAGTATGGGATCGGTTAGTGTAGTTATGTTTTTGGGAGTCTTTAATCAAGGGAACTTCATGATGCTTTTTTTACGGTATCAATTTAGAGTTTCTTACTTTTTCCAATTAATGTAATGAAAGCTGAATTTGCCACCGACTGCAGTAAGGAACATTATGTTGGGGTAAATGAGAAGTCTGTGAAATAAGAAAGTGAAATCAGAAATAACTATATTGGATATTTTGGAAGTGGTATTGGTAATGTGAAGGTGCCACTAATCCACGTGGTCTAGGTCCACCCCACACATTCCTAGAACCGGCATGATACGACTCAGCCCGACCCGCACTGGGGTCGGATATATCAGCTTCGCAAAAGAGAGGCAGGAAACAAGTAGAGGGGGTTGTTTGCAATTTCCTTATTCTTAATTAGTTGATTAGGRAAGATATTAATTAGTTTATTAGGATAAATATGTTTTCCTATTTTTTAGGATTAGGGTATATTTTTTAGGATTAGGGTACGGCTTTATTTAAGGGACCGGCCACCCATTGTTTGCATTCATTCTAGTATTTTGATTCTTGTCGTAGACATTGGAGATTACTGGGTCTCGAATTCCAGGGGTTTATTTTAATAAGCATCCGATTAGTGGTACTTTAGGCCGCTAATCTTGATTTTGCCAATTGATTCATATCACGGCACCCCCGCCCCAACCTAGGGGATTGCCACTGAGCTAAGTCCTCGTGGTTTAAGTATATTGGATGTTACAGGGGGTGTAAATTGAGTGGAAATATTGAAGGAGTCTCTTGCTGCATACTCGTTGATTGCAGTAAACTTTTACGTTAAATACAATTTCTACCTAAACTATGGAGTCTGTTATCAATTTACAGTTTCTAACATTTTTGGGGCAAATAGCTACCTAGTCTTATGATTGTTAGGGCTTCAGATGTTAAAATACATTCCTTGTGCTATTCTTTTTGGAGAAAAGAACTGGTCTTTTTTATTGAAAATTCTTCTGTATTTTAGAAATACACTTCTTGGTTCTTACATATTGTTAAGGCATGCTAAGGGCCCGTTTGTTAACAGCTTAATGAGACTCAGCTTATTCGGTCAGCTATACATGACTGTCTGGTTATGGCTTAATGATGTAGAAAGTGGCTTATTCGGTAAGCTTCTAGGGGGAGCTTTATGCAGAAAGCCAAGTTTTTCCAAACCTCCCCCTCCCAATTAAAAAACATGCTCCTTCCATCTATGAAAAAACCCATCCAAACAAAAACCCTCCCAATCCTTACATACAGATTAATCCACAAAGTCCACTATATTCATAAAAGACTTAAAAGAAAACCAACCAATGGCCGGTAACATGGACTATGAAATACTAAGCTGTCTTATCTTTATACATTTAGAAGAGGATTGGAGGTCAGAAGTCTTGAAACAATAGTTGCCAAAATGTGACTTATTCCCTGACAATAGCCTCCTATGCTTACCTGCTGGCCTGTTCCATTCCCATTGCACATTTTTAGTTGCTAAATAATTTCCCATCGTTGAACTGTTTGATGATCGCTTGTTTTCATGGAGATTTCTAGTCACCAATTTTGCCAACACATTTCTTTAAGCGAATAAAACTTGCCAACTGTGTCTGCTGAATTCCCTATAGAAGTAAAACTAGTGGTTTGTGCTTCTAGGTATTCATAGATGAATTGGATGCCATTGCACCATCACGAAAAGAAGGTGGTGAAGAGCTTTCCGAAAGAATTGTGGCAACACTACTCAATTTGATGGATGGTATTAGCAGAACTGAAGGCCTACTTGTTATAGCTGCAACCAATAGGCCTGACAGTATCGAGCCAGCACTCAGACGTCCCGGAAGACTCGACAGGGAAATTGAAATAAGTAGGATAGTCTTTCATTAACCTATGTTTTTTCCCCAAAAATTTATGATTCTCTACACATTTGGACAGAAGTGAATCAGGGTTGGGCTCTATTAATTTCCCAACTGGTTGATTGCTTCTCAAATGAATGTTTGTTACTTTCTAATGATGAATAAACCCGTTTTATTTGTCTGAATTATATGCAGGCGTGCCATCTCCGTTTCAACGTTATGATATATTACTTGCCCTGCTCAATGAAAAAGAACACCATCTTTCAGATACGGAAATTCATCATGTGGCTATGACTACTCATGGGTTTGTGGGCGCTGATCTCGCTTCCCTCTGCAACGAAGCTGCCTTTGTTTGTCTTAGGCGTTGCATTGGCGAGCTTGGTGATGAATTATTGTGCTACCAATCATCTGTGTCTTACAACAAGCATCCTGATGATAATATGAAAGCTTCGTCGTGTTCAGATAATATGAAGGATTTGTATTCTGGGAATAACTTGGAGTACTCGTCTTTATCTAATTCAGAGCTACATTTAGGAAGTGTTGAAAGTGATAGGATGGCGAAAAACTTGAGCGTGTCTCTTGAGGATTTCGAGAAGGCAAGAATTAAAGTGAGACCAAGCGCCATGAGAGAGGTAATATAAAATTTTCACCATTGTATGGCCATCTTCCAAAGATATTTGTGGTTGCTAGCTAGAATAAAGCTTTTTTGCAAATTTACCTAGCGAACGAGTTGTGTGCGCTTATTTAGAAGGATAAAATTTATTTAAATGCATTACCTTCTGACAGATTTAAGAACGCCTCTGCCTAGCGGAGAATACCTCTAACTAACACAATAATGCCTCAAAATCTGTCAGAAGATCCATGCATTTAAAAAGATATATGTTATTCTCTTAAATAACCCATTTGTGTGTACGGTCTACAGGTTGTGTTACTGGACCACTGTACCCCATGATTCGATCACCTTTTGCCTTTTGGTCTTATTTGATGGACACAAACAAATATTTTCCAAAACATTCTACCTCTTATAAGCATTAACTTAACATCATCTCAGTAAGGGTCTACTGGTTAAGCCGCGTTCCTTTTTGGTAGCAAGCAGGGTCCGGCGGGCAATGGGGGACATGTGCGTAGTGGACAAGTAAAGAATTTTAGTACTCCCTCTGTCCCAAAACAAGTGTCCATATTTGTGTTTATGTTTGTCCCAAAATTAGTGTCCGCTTTCATACTTCATATATAGATGGTTAATAATTTCTAAAAATTTTCAGTTCTACCATTAATTATGACACATGAATATTTTAAGAGTTGATTAGATGGCGAAACTCATTAGTCATTAGTGGAATAATTATGTTTCTAAACCGTGTGCTTTTTTATTAGGGTAAAATTGTCATTCGGTTAATTAAAAGTGTAATAATTATAAATTTCTAAAACTGTGTGTTCTTTTTGTGTACATTTATTTTGGGTGGTGATTTGATATTATAGGGGTGAAACATATATTTTTTGCAACTGCTTTCTATCATTCTGACTTGTTTGATCTACAATCAGGTGATACTTGAGGTTCCGAAGGTTAGCTGGAAAGACGTTGGTGGTCAAGAGGAGGTCAAAATGCAGTTGATGGAAGCCGTAGAATGGCCTCAAAAGCACCAGGATGCTTTCAAACGAATTGGTACTCGTCCACCAACTGGGGTTTTGTTGTTTGGTCCCCCGGGGTGCAGCAAAACCCTTTTGGCTCGTGCGGTGGCATCTGAGGCCAAACTGAATTTTCTTGCAGTGAAGGGACCAGAACTTTTCAGCAAATGGGTCGGCGAATCAGAAAAGGCTGTAAGGTCTCTGTTTGCAAAGGCAAGGGCTAATGCTCCTTCAATTGTATTTTTTGACGAATTAGATGGTCTTGCCAACATCCGTGGAAAGGAAAATGATGGGGTTTCGGTCTCTGATCGTGTTATAAGTCAGCTTCTTGTTGAATTAGACGGTAAGACTTCTTATTGTTTTCATTTAGTTAAATATTTTCTCTTAACTCTAATGTGTGTATAGTTTTGTTATAGAGTTATATAATTCTCATCGGATTATATTCGCAACTTGTTTGTTGATTTAGGTTTGAGCCAGAGAGTTAATGTCACAGTTATTGCTGCCACAAACCGACCAGATAAAATCGACTCTGCCCTTATGAGACCAGGTATCACCTTATTTTTTAAGATCCATTCTTACTTCTGGAATTTGTGTAACTCATCGGCTTCTTAATACAAAATTGATAGGACGGTTTGATAGGCTCGTGTATGTGGGCCCACCAAATGAAAAAGACCGTGAGGAGATATTCTGTATCCATTTGAGTAAAATGACTTGCAGTTCCGATGTATGCATTAAGGAGTTAGCTCTTCTTTCTGAAGGCTGTACTGGGGCTGACATTTCTTTAATATGTCGGGAAGCGGCTGTTGCAGCTATCGAGGTTTGTTACCCCCTTGGTTATCAATGAGGATCCTTTCAAAGTTCATAGCTTTTAATTCAAATGTCTATTTTGATGGCACAAAAAAATGCATTTGGTATGGCGATAGGACAAGACTGGATAGGCGAGAGTGAGGTTGGACAGTGAAAGAATGGTGGAGGTTTTAGGGTTCTAATTTGACATGGGTAGTTTTGTAATTTATCATTATCTGGTTTTTGTTCCACCTATTTTGTCGGATCCCACTCAGTCCCGTCCTATCCCAATCTAATGTCTTGCCGACATGGGAAAACAAGTTTTTGTTTTGTTTTGTCCTAGTACCACATGCACCATGGTTGCTAATGGTTGTTTATTATCTCAGGAGAAACTTGATGCTTCGGAAGTAACAATGAAGCATTTAAGATCTGCGATTGAACAAGTGCAGCCATCGGATGTAGATTCTTATCAGGAATTGACGGAAAAATTTCAGAGACTTGTGTCCGTGGCTACCCCGAATGATGATTCGAGCACATGAATTGATGAAGTTGGTTACCTTTTCCTGGTAATTCAAACTCTTTGCTTTGTCTTCCAGGATTATATACGGGAATGAACTTTTGATAGATTTTCTCTTTAAATGCATGACCTTCTGATAGATTTAAGAATATCTTTGTCTAACAGAAGAATGCCTCAAAATATGTCATTATTTAAAAAAAAAAATCTGTTATAAGGTTATTCTCCTAAATAGTTCTCGTCTTTTGGATCGTGCATGTTACTGAAGCCTAACCCACCATATCCCACCCAACAGGTGGGGTTTGGGAGAGGTGAGATTGGGATGTATGCAAATATGTCAGCTATCTCAAGAAGTAGAACAACTGTTTATGTGATTGAACTGTAATAATATATACTTCTGGTGCAACAGGAGCATTTTGAAATCGATTGCATAGCGTAAATCTCATGCTCCGATATCATTTTCATAGAGAGATTTTCAGACCATCTTCGCTTTCTAGTTGGAACCACCACCCAACTTGTTTTCGAACCTCCATAATCCGAAACTACTTAAACTTGGCTGCTCGCTCACCGAATAGATTCTGCATGGAAATTAACCAACTTCTCGCCATACCATCGGAAATGGTTTGCCCGTGAAGATGTGATTATACTTGATTTATTTTGTGTTTTTGGTTTCCCAAATGAAGGTTAGATTTAGGTGTAAGAAAATTTACTTCCACCCCAATTTGAATGGCGGAATTTAGCTGTTACTTGCTAGCCGTTTTGTGTATAAATGTGATAACCGGGTTATTCAGATTATAAGTTTGGGGTGGTTTTTGAAAAGTATGGATAAATTAAGGGGTTAAATGTGTTTAATTGGGTTTTTTATATGAGATATTTTTAATATCTCACAAGTATTTTGTTAAGTTGGTGAAAAAGTTTTCTGTTTGTCTTCTTGGGTGCAAATCAAACAAAAAATAGGAGGAAAGAACTCGATTGATTCTGTGATTTCTATGTGGAAGATTAGTGCTATCTTTTTGTGATTAAGGTGAGTTTATATTTTTACCATATTTTTTTATTTGAAAATTGGGTATAAAACTGTATGGTTCTTTATATGAGTTGCTAACTATAAAACTGTTTTTGATGCTATAATTAACATAATTGTGGGTTTTTGTTATGAGTATAACATTTGTGGGAATAAGGGTGACATATTAAAGAAATGTGTATTTTGGGTTATAAGGATGACATATCAAGGAGATGTATATATTGGGATAAGGGTGGCAAAATCATGAGTTATAAAATCTGGATTTTTGATCAACAATCATAATTATTAAAGATGTGATGACTTATAGTTGTCGCATCCCATTGATGCGATAAAGTGTGATTCTTGCATCAGTGTGATACTGTGATGCGAGGAGTGAGTTTTGGCGCATCACAAGTGAGTTTTGTTGCATCCTTGTGATTCCACAAGTTGACTTATCGCACCTATATGATGCGACAAGTCAGATTTATCGTACCAGTGTGATGCGATGAGTTGGTATTCTTGCACGATTTGTTGCGAGGAAATGGTTTGTCTCATTCTCGTGATGCGACAAGTTGACTTATCACACCTATATGATGCGACAAGTTAGATTTATCGTACCAGTGTGATGTGATGAGTTGGTATTCTTGCATAGTGTATTGCGAGGAAATGTGTTTGTCAAATCCATGTGATGCGAGAATTTTGTATAAACTTCTTTATGATGCGATAAGATTTACTTGCAACATGTTTATCAAGTTATTGAATATTTGGATGCAATAAGTGAAGTTTGTTATATCAAAAGGATATATAATTGTCATTGTTACAAATATGAGTTCATAAATATGATTTGGTGATTTTTCACTCTGTAATTGTATCAAAGAGATTTCTCACTAGACCTCAAAGTCTAATCCTCATTTTGTGTTTTTAAAAATGTACGTTACAGGTCGGGCACAACCAGATGACAATGGGAAAGGGAAATTGTGAAGTGTTATATTATGTTTGCATGGATTATTGTGCTAGCATAATACTCTTTTGTATCTGAATATTTGATATGTATTCATGCGTTGTATAGATATTTTCTGGAAAAAGTTATTAGTTATTTTGTAATATAGCTTTTGTAGAGAGTTTGAGACCGAATATAAACTAATAATTAAATCTATAATAATTGTTTTTTTATAAACTAATAATTAAATCTGTAAATCGTGAGATAACCAATCTTGTTGCAACTAGTATCTAACTAATTATCCAAAATTGATTACTTGATCTATAAATAACCAATTAATCAAAATTAGAATCATTTCATTTCAACAACAAAGAACTTTTAATTTACAATTATCAATTTTGAAATACAGGTCCAAGTACATGACTTGGGATCATATGAGAACAAGGGTTTTTCGTGAGACCCGTAAAACCAATTCTCAACCCTTGGATTAGATCTACAATTGTCAGATCTCAACATTCATAAACTCCACGAGATTTCTCAATAATTACAAAATTGTCACCATGCAACTTTAGACCGTTAGATCATTAGCTTATAAAGTTGATCAATGAACATAAATTGGTCTTATGGGTCTCACGAAAAACCTTTGGTCTCACGTGAACCCAACCCCCAAGCACCTTGTGATTCTTCAACGTCAAAATTAGGCATGAGAATGGGCCCCTACCCGTTGGGGAACCTGATCCGCCCGCCCCGGTTGGGGATGGGGATTCCCTGCTAAATCAGGGATGGGGATGGGACGGGGACGGGGATCCCCGTTTGTCTCAAATCGGGGATGGGACGGGGACGGGTATGATACTCCCGCCCAGTACCCGTTATATATATATATATATATATATATATATATATATATATATATATATATTAATTAATAAATTGTATATATACATATATATCTATATTATTTATTTCAACTAAAGCGGTAGTTCATAATTTCTTATTTTCTAACTAGGTTTATAATTTAAGTTGTTTTTATGTTAATATGTAATATTTTGAATGTCAAGTCAAAATACGATTACTCGATAAGTTTTGTATATTACTCGAACTCGATATGATTTTATATTATTCAATATCTTTTGGTACACGAAACTTTAAGTTTCTTTTGGATTTAATTGATTTTTTTGTTTTGTTTTAGGTTATTAGCTCTTATATGATGTTGTGGTTTTTTTGTATTAAATTAAATTCATTTTGGTTTTAGGTTTATTGAAAAATGTTTGAGATTTACAGATGTATGGTCTCTCACATATTTAATTTAAAATAACTTACATAAACGGAAAAAAAATCTCCGTTTCCCCATCAGGGATGAGAATGGGGACGGAAATAGAGATAAGTAGTCGGGGACGAGGATGTGGATTGAGGTCCCCGCCCCATTCCCATGCCTAGTCAAAATAACCACATTGATACTGTATAACTAAAACACCTCCTAAATCTGATATATATTTTTAACTGTTATAAGAACATGTAAAAGACTGTTTATTTAAACATAATAAAAAATGAAAATAATAAAAAAATGATTATGGGTAGAGTTGTATGAGGGATTTGTGGCATCCACTAATTGATATTGGATTAAATAGTGAAAGTTATGTCCCCTAGTTTAAAGGCTATATGAAGCAAGTTTAGTGCAATCATAAACTTGTTTAATAAAGTAAGTCTAGATCTAATTAAACCCCATGTGGGAGATTCTATAACCCCTTTATATGAACTCTAAGATACTTTTGAGTATCAAAGTCAATCCCATTGCTACCCCACCTCCACAAAACTACCATCAAACACCCCCTACTTGTCGTCACTTACATCAGTGGTACCTTAACTGTTCTCTGAACTTCATTCTTGATGGATTTATATCTGGTATATGTTGTTACTGAACGGATAACTGTACGAAAGTTTCTTATGTTTTACCCTGTTAATGTTGTCAAGATTATAGCTGAAAGACGTTACTGTTTTACAATGTATAAGATGTGCTTTTGTGCTTTGTTATCTTTTGTAGTGTAAAAAATGGAAATAGTCATTGTAATACTAATAACATTGCACATTCTGATACGGAATCTTGGATATGTCTCTGGTTTAGTATTGTATACGATTTTACAGCGTTGCTTTGCGAAAACAACATGATGGGGATGTGCATGATGTGTTTGTTGACAGGTACATTTGGACAGGATCGACGCTTTCAAACCAAACCAAACAAAAGCATCTAGGACAATGATGGTAGTGGTGGTTAGCGGAGCTCAAAGTGTGCGGTTTCACCATTCACGTACACATAAACCAAACCAAACCAAACCCGATCCGAAAGCAGGTTACTTTTATTTGGAAAATAAGATGTACACAGACCTTATCTTTACTTCTGACAGCATAAAAGTTGTTTTCGTAAATACCACAACTTGTTAATTTTTTTCATGTGAAGGTAAATTGAGAAGCTAACAATCATCTGTTGAACAAACGTAGACCATGATATGCGTCGGGAGAGATGAATCTACACGAACTTATTTTTTGTTAATTAGCTCTCGAAAACAAAATTAAGATCTAAAATGAAAATGGCGATTGCATAAAAGTTTAGGGACCATTAACGTAAATTATATTTCATCCAACTTAACAAATTACTTTTTTTTATTAGAGTTATTTTACAAAATGCAAAGTCTTTTTTAGGTTCATCTTCGAATTTAAATATTATTTCAATTAATAATTATTATAAGAAGATATGTATTATTAATACAAAATTGTTATTAAATTATTTTAAGAATTAATTAAATATATTATCTTAAATTTCTTTAATTTTGAGATGAGCAAAGAAACGGTCCCCACAAAATGACCTAACTTTGCTTTCCATTTTTATTCTCTCAATCTTTTTCATTTCTTTTTGTGTGGTTATAGTAATTATATGATATTAATTAATTAAAATAATATAAATTAATTGTAATAAAAGGTATTATCTATACTATATTATAAAGCATTTGATTAAAAAAAAATTAAAAACCATTTTTTATGCATAAAGTATTGTTTATTAATACATGTTACTTAAAACTCAAGATTATAAGTAGATTGTATTAAATAACGTTTTTAGGAGGCATTTTTGTTAATAAGCACTTTTTGAAGGTGTTAAATTAGGTTTTTTTTAGATAAAATTGAGAGTTTCTTTTTGATAGATTTTTTAAAACTATTTGAATTTCTAAAAAATATTATTTATAAGTGAAAAATAATATTTTATTATTTTCATGTTTTTAAAATTAAGGATTTACGAGAAACAAGTAATATTTTATTAAATGTGTTGAAAATTTTAATGAATATAATTGATGTTATAATCTTTGAAAAAGAGAATCCGTGGGAAATAAATGTAATATTTATTCGAAGATTTTTGTTTTAGAAAAAAATTAGAGAATCTGTTGAAGATGCTCCAAGTGTTTGACAATTCTAAAGATTTAGAAGGGTACCCGCACAATACAGTGTGATATATCTCAAATGATGAATTCGAGAACTTAAACTCTCAATTTTAATTCATGTTTCGTTCTATTATTTTATTGGACCGGATAAACCACAAGCCGAATAAAAGCAGTTGTTTTTAACTTTATTTTTAAATCTATCATTTTTTTTCCTTTTTTAACGGACTAGACCAGACATTTTTTGAACTTGACTAGATCAAAACCGAACAGTCTCAGTCTCCCAGAACAAGTCAAACCAATAGTCCAGATTCGATCTTTAGCGCGACGGACCCTGATCAACAGTGGCCTGACCTTCTTTTAGATCGTGGTGACCAATCTTTGCATATATAAACATAATCACGTTATGGGGGCCTTCTTTTAAGAATCGTGCAATTTATAAGATCCGTAAGATCCAATATAAATCACAAATCTAAATTAGGA